TTCTTGAATCTGCTTCAAGCAGTGCGGTTCCCAGCTCATCGTTTATTACATCACACCTGCGCATGGCAGCATTTTGACAGGGTCACCTTAGTTGCCTACACGGCACAACGGTGGGAAAAGCTGGGCCTACCCATGCACCAACGGCTTGAAGAGATGGGCTTCGTTCTCCCCGACCCGGCACAGCCCATTGTACAGCCCTCCATAATGCAGGATTGTCTTCCCTGCGTTTTGAGACACTAAGAGGCGAGCCATCGCAGCTCTCAGCACAGTGTAAAGTGAGTGAGATTCCTTAGGTAGTCCCTTCCTGTGCCTCTGTAATCAGGTAGTGCATCGGCCCATACGGCGTGGATGTGCTGTCAGGTTGCTGAACTGGAGGATAGCCAAGTCGAAAAGTTCCACGGTTGACGCTGTAGCCAAGTAATTACACTGCTGAGAATGCTGGGCTTACTTGCTCAGGTCATGCCCCCTTGCGCCACAGATGGCTGCACACGCGAGGTCAATGGTAATCGTCTCTACTGCTGCTCTGAGTGTCACCATGGTTCGCACAGCCGAAGATGCAATAGACGCTTTCGCCGCGGCTTGAGAAGCAGTGTATCGGTTTGCCTTACAGCCAGCTGTGCAAGGCTGGTGGCATACGCTCACACTCATTGCTGTTCAGAGTGTCGTGCCACTGGTGGGCAGCAGCACAAGAAAAGCTGCAATCATCGTCAGATTGCTTTGCAATCCATGCAATCTGGAACCAGTGTAGCGCCGCAAGCTGCCATTGAGAGGCCTTTCCCAGCTGAAATGGCTGTTGTTATCGATTTAGAAGCGATGGATTGAAGGGCATCATTCCATGTTCTCTTAGCTAGCTGTGGGAGTCGCCAATAGTGCGGCGCGGTCTTCGAACCGCCGGACATATGTCTGTCCCTCATCGTCGAACGCAGGAGCTTTGCGAGACGTGGGCAATGCAATACTACTACTACTACTACTGATGCTGCTGCTGCTGTTGCTGCTGCTGCTACTACTACTGATGCTGCTGCTGCTGCTGCTGCTGCCGCTGCTGCTGCTGCGGCTGCTGCCAGGGCGACGAGGCGGAGCTACTGCCATAGCTACGACTATGATGGCGATGCTTCCCAGAAGCCGCTACTAACCACCACGAAGACGGTGATGGCACTAGGTGAAATCCCGTGACCACACAGGGTGTTCTCAGGTGCCGGCTTTCCCGCTTCTCGGCTCCCCGGTGCCCCTGTCGGCACCCATCTCTCTGGCAGAGTCGCTGGGTCGGCGCCCCTGAGTTTCAGGGGTAGAAGATTCCGTTCCGACCAGCTGGGGCATCTGCATGCCTTGACCTGTCTGCCGAGGTCAGGCGACTCCTCAACGCACGCCGGTGTCATTGATGCAGTCCTTGATTGAGATGCCATCCCCCTTCACTGTCAATGGGCGTGCAGGGGCAGGCCGAGATGCCGGAGAGAGGAGCATTTCCCAAACGATTTGAGTTTGTTGCTGGTTCCGGCACCAAGCTGCTGAGATTCAGTGCAGGCATGGTTGGTGGAAACGGCATCTTTAGCTTCACGTTGCGCAAGGCATCATGTCAGCACAAGTGATGTCTATGTGGGAAATGAAACCTCAGACGCTGGAGCAGGCAGATGGCACCGAGCTCGGGCTCAACGTGTCACACTCCAACGACGTCCGGGCCCTGCGGACGAAGGGATGCACCAAGCAGCAAAGGGGTGGCTGTTTTCAGGAAGTCGGCCACAGATTTCGAAGCACGTTTGAAGCTTTATCAGAGGCAGCTGAACAGGGCAAGAATTTTCTCCAGTTGTACTCGTGACGCCACGGAAGGGTCGTGACCCTTGTTCGTGTCACCGTTGTCATGAGTCAAAGATGGGATTCCCGTCGTGCCGAGGATCGTGTGCTGTGTGTGGAGGGCATCCGCCCGGGCGGAGCTGTGGAAGCCTGGAATCGCCAGTGCCTGGGCCCAGGCCCGAACCCGATGCCTGACCGTGGTTCTACTTGAAAGCATGTGCGTGGGCGGCTTGTGATTGCTCGATAGTTCACGAAGTCAAGTCAAAAGGATGCTCGCCCTCCTGCTTTGCTTGCCTTCAGAAGTTTTGTTTGCAGGAAGCACTTTCACGGAGAAAGCCGTGTTTCAAGGAGTTCCTCGGCCGGCACAAGGGATTCCCACTAACAGCGGCATCGTCCACATTATATCAGCCGAGGCTGTACGGCGGGCATAGTCTTAAAAGACACAAGCCTCAGACACAAACTCCCTAGCCCAACTCAATCCGCAGCCGGAAAAAACACAACATTGCAAGGATCGCATTATCAGTGTTAACCAGATCTGCTACGACCCCAACAAGATGCTCCAGGACCTTGAGTGGGAAGGCTCCAGGATTCAGAGTTTCAAGCTTCGGAAGACTGGGTTCGCGGCCTGCAAATCGTTCACGCGTGATGAGGTCTGCTGCATGGAGGGCAATCTTCGGGCGCTGGTAACCACGTGTTCCAGAGCGCAGCATGCCTCCAATCGCTACCCTGATCTACGCCTTTCCAGGAGTGCAAGGAAAAGCAGCTGCTGAAGCTCACGATCGCTCGCGGCAATGTTTCTCTGCCCTCAGCCCCGGCTCAGGCGCGCATCATGATGACGGGTTGGACCAGCTTGTTCCTGCAAGGGAAAGCAGGTGCTACAGCAATCTGAGGATGATGTTGCTTGCCACCCTGCCACCGCCTGCAGAAGAATCCTTGCGAGGGAACAGGTTGACTTTCCACTACTAGCGCTGCGGTGCTGCATCGAAGAAGGGCACTTGCAGAGCTAAAGCAGTCGCAAAAGCCGTGCACTGGCCAGGGGCCTGGATCTGCCTCCCTCCGTGCAGATGCCTCCGAGTTCGTGGCGTCCTCATTCGAAAATGTGCGATGGTTCTTCTTCGCCTGCAGCTTTCACTTCGGAGAGGGTCCGCTTTTGAATCAAGCCCCTCAAGAATGGAATCTTTTGGCTTATTTCGGTTTCGTGCCGCCGGCCGTATGCCATGGTGCCGCTCACATCCTACACCCACTACATCTGCTTCTTCTTGCATTTTATCTTCCCAGGTGCCCGGTGTGACGTCCAAGCCCACGACCAACGGTGCAGACGAGAAGAAGGACTTCCAGTGCTCTTGCTTGCTGGAACATGTATGCTCGTTTCCAGGGCCCGCTTTCCATACATCTAGCTGAAACTGTTGCTTCAACCGAGGCGCAAAATCTTCAGAATTTTCAGGTGCGAAACGTTGCGCGTGGCGGTTGCGAGAAGTTTTCGATGGACCGGTGTGGTTGTGGTTTCGTAGAGTCGGGCTCAGTGCACGCAGCAAGGCCAAAAGAGACAGGCTCAAGCTGCCCTCCGAAGCCTCGCATCCTTGTGACTTCAAGGGAACCTTTTTTTCCACAAATTCGGTCGACAGTGTAGACTCCTCGCCTCGAAAATCTAATGTCCCGAGCACTCGCCATGTCACGCTACACTCATGTTGCACCACCTTCTGCGGCATCTGTGGCCATCTTCGTCAATGTCCTTGACAAAGCTTGACAAAGGAGGATGAGACTCCCAAGAACAGCGAGATCGACGTCTAGGCACAAGGGCCCTCACGTTGCAGATTGGCACATCTCATCTGCAGCTGTGGCCTTCGTCGAGCGTGAGACAAGCGTGATCTCTGTCGAGCCAGGTGGCCAGGTGGTGAGTGACCCAACTGCCTGCAGCGCGTGGCAGAAAGAAGGCTGTTCTTCCGGGAACACCGAGTTCAGGATCACTCATGACGAGCTCACAAGATCTTGGAGTCTCCAAGGTAAGTGTGAGGTACACTCTGAATTCGACCAGAGGTCTCCTGAACTTGACTTGCGAGTCGTGTTTTTTCCCTGGTTTTTTGCTTAATTCTTTTCTGCTCTGTCAATATCTCTGACAAAGTCGAGGAACTTCAGATTCTAGCCGAACTCGTCGTCTGATTCCAAACTTCTGCCACTGCGCAGTTCCTACCTGCTGAAAGAAGGGCATGTTCCTTTCGTAACAACGTTGCCTTCAAGCTAGAGAAGGCAGGAATTGACGAGTTTTGCGCAATGTGTCCGCTCAGCTTGGTGGCGATGCCATGTCCGAAACGCAGAGCTTAGCTCGGAAAGAGAGTTGGGCACGTGGTTCACGCTCGAGGGGCGACGTCTCTCGGACGAGATTTCTCTTGTCGGCAGAGGCAGCGGCCTGTCGAGTTGAAATTGAGGCTGACAGGCCTTGGTGCATGGGTCGCCAAATGCAGTCATGAGTCGAGGCTGTGTGGGTGCCAACAGTTGGCAACACTGGAACCTGCACAAAGAGCCGTCTCTATAAGATCAGCTGCCTTCTCTGCTTCAATTTGATTGCGTTAGGCCTGTTAGGCTGCTTATGATCATGTGTTTGCAAAGAGTTTCCAGGCAGGGCGGCTGTCAACGAGACAGGAGAAGCGAGAAGTCTGGCAGGTGTGCATAAACTCGTTCATCTTGTAGCCTGGGCCACACCGACAGAACAACCCGGAACAAGCTGCAGACCTGAGCCCAGAACCGCTACTATAGCTTTTCAGCGCAGTAGGTGGTGCCAACATGGATGTGTGGCCTGGAGCAATTTCAGTTCGTGTCGAACCGAGCAGTGCTGCTGGGCGGACTCGTCTAACAGTCTCGAAAGACAGAGGACCACAGGCATCGATTTGCTGTTCTTCGGCTGTGCAAGGGATGTTCCCAGGTTCAGCAGCAACGGCCGACTGGCGCAGACCCAACTTGAACACTGAACGGTTCAGTTAGGTGCACCGAGCACCTAGATTTTGGCACCGAGATGCACCCAGGGTATCAGCGGAGGTTTGCAGAGCAACCAGAATATGCAATACGCTTTGGTACGACCTGTTACGATAGGATTTGAACGTCTTGAGTGAGGGAGGGGGTTGCGTAAAATTGCGTGCATGCTGAAACCTGAACCTAAGCCTAGAAGTCTGTATGGCATCGACTATGAGACAAGACACAATCGCGAGTACTGCTCTGAGCGTTTCAAGACTGGACGAAGGAAGCTTGGAGTGCAGGTGCCAATATATGTGAGCAGCCATAGGCGCTTTGAGAAGTCTTGTAAGTCACACCTTGCCGTGGTGATGTGGCACTGCGGGCAGTGCTTGGGTGGAGAGATGAGCCACACAGTCCCTGTGGGGTCAGTTCCTGCGGATTCAACCACACGGACGTTTCCGTGCGCATTTCCATGAAGGTTACTACTTTGCTTCCCGATTGCTGCAGGAACTGAAGGGACTGACGTGGCTCCTGCACTACCTGTCAATGAGATGTTCCTGCCATCGCATCGTGTCACCAGCAGGAGAAAATGAGACAGCCTGCAATTGCGAGGGCAAGCTTTGCAGCCCTTTTCTCAAAGAGCGCCTTGCTCCAGGGAGGTATATGGCCAAGATTCGCAGCAACTTCCAGCACTGCGTTCATGTCGGCTCCAAGCTGAAGACAGCCAGAGAGACACAACGAGCCTGGCTCCGTGTATTGGTCACCCCATCTGCAGGCAGCCAAGAAGTCAAACGGCGTGTCTGTATCAAGATCCGCTCAATCAAATCTAGGGCTAAGCCAAGACAGAAGAAGTGTCTGCGTGATGTAACCGTGATGTATATGTTGAGTTGCTGTTGTCTGGTGGAGGCAGCATGGTTTCGCCCTACCAGACGCAGGGCCGATGGCAGCACAGCTCTGGGGGCGACATTGAAATCAAAGTGGATGGTCCGGATCTCGGTGGACGGCAGCCCTTCCGTAGACATGCAAGCAACAACAAGTATGTTGCAGTTCGCCGCAGCAGTGTTTATATGATGGTCAGCAGATGTCAATAGGACTGAGGACAACCTCCATGACGGGTAGATGTGGTTTTCGAGATTCACGACCACTTGACATAGGCTCACAAATGGACACATCAGAACCCGTGACAGCTCTGGCCGTTCGTCTTCCATTGAACATCTTGGAGACCTCACTCGTCTTGGCCGTTTGAACACCGCTGTCTTCAGTTGGCCTGTGCAGGCACCGGACAGTCTGTGGCAGCTTGTCTGAAGATAGCAGTCAACATGTCGTCGATTCCTTGAGTGAGTTCGGCACGCGCTGTGCCTTGGGAGTTGACTACTGTCAGCAGCACAGTCAGTGCCGCACCGCTGCAGTCTTTGCCGGATGCGGATTGTGTTCCTTTTCCCTCAGAGTCGTTGTTGCTGCCGTGGGGAATCGATCGAAGCGAAATCAACATTCCGAGGTCATCAGCCACCCTACAGTGGGCAAGCAGACTCTGGAAACTTCGAAGTTCTGCAGCGGAGACGGCCTGGACTACTTTGGTGCCTCGAGTCGCAACATGGGGAGAGATGGGGAGCGGGCCATCCGCTGCGGTCTCACGGTGGTACTCGTACTGTAGCATTGCGATGTTGAAAAAGAGGCCAGACAGAGGCGAGGTTCTCGTTTCATCCTGGTCTCGTCGCCAAGGCTTCAAGGGAAAGATGGATGGGGACAAGATCACCTGGAACAATGGTGTGGTGTGGACCAAACAACTTTGACACCGCAGGTCGTTTTGGAGCTGTTAAGCCCAACGGGCCGTAATTAAATCAGCGAAGCCCAGTGCAGTGGGCGCATCACTGGCGCTGAACGCTTAGAGTGACCTTCACAGGCGGCACTGCAGCTCAAGTTCAATCCCTTGCTCACATAATAGACTCCGAAAAGCCCGCCTCAACGTGCTCAGAACCCTCTGTAAAAGGCGATATGTACCTAGCCAGCGAATTTAGTAGACCATTCCAATGTGGCCAGAGAGCCGGTGATCCTTGAAGCAAAGGTCGGAACTTGCAAAGTGCGCGACCTCTCTGTGCAAATAGTGCAGGAACATCAACGCCTGCAGCAAAGCTTGTTTCAGCAAGCACCGGCACCCTACCGGTGGACGCTCAGTGTGAATGTGGACTTTGTGCCCTGTGCTCCTTGTCGCACGATGGGGTGAGCGATGCCACCTCCTTGGCGATTGAAGCGCCTGACCCAGACGCTCTTAGCAATATACCACAATAGACTGGACGCAGATGGTGGAGAGGGAAAGCTGCTGCAAGTATGCCACGCAAATAGCATCGACAGTCGATGCTGAGGCATCGATGCCTAGCTTACAAGCCGCAATATTCGCAAGCTGTTCATTTGCATGGGGCTCTGAAGTGACGTGCTGTACAGACACTAGAAGCCCGAGACGTCTTAACGTTGCATCCCCGGCATGGCGGAGCAAAACATCGACATCACGTTCGATGAGGCCACCCAGATTATATCATCACTGGCACGAGGGGTGGTCAGGGTGTGGCTCCCCCTCCACGGCCGACAGGACAATCGCATCCGGGTTATGCCCAAGGAGAAGTTCAAGCAGACTGAGCAGCTTCTCTCAATTTTTGCAAAAGCCTCCGTGCAACAGGCATCTCCCAGCATGCACCAGGTCACTGGAGGCCGAATGCCATGGCTTTGCCGACAAGATCCAGGCATGCACGCAACTGCTGATGTCCAAGACTGGCGATGAGCCAGATCTCGCAGAATCTAGCACTTTCGCCATGTTGATCGTGTCTTAGCTCACTCGGCTTCCGTCCCCTCAGAATTGCCTTCCTCCGGTTCCATACCGTGAGGCCTTCAGCGGCACAGTGGACATGCTTGTGGAGGCAGGCTACTGGTAACACTTTGAGTATGGATCCTCTTCCGGTCTCATCTGCTCGTGGCATCCGAAATTCTACAGTCTGAAGGAATGTAGTCAAAATGCAGACCAGTCATCATTGTTGCAGGGACAGTGCGTGGAAGACTGTCAGACTTTTTAGCGTGGCTGCGACTCTGCGACTGTCACTGTCTCTCGAGAAAAAGAACAAGGTTTTCTTCCGCTGACAGCAAGAGAGTGAAGTTGCTCGGGTTCATGGCACCACAATCTCTCCGCAAATCAGACTCTGTCAGTGTTACCATCTGTGAGAAGTTCGCAACCCCCTTAGACGATGAGTATTCAGGCAACCTTCCGTGCTTTCGCCAGCACTTTCACGTTCGACTGGCATCAGCTGATGTTTTTCCAATCCGCGGGCGTAAGCTCTGGAAAAGGTTCGAATTTACCTGGTACTGTTGTTGGGAATGTTTACCCGAGTAGAACTCAGATTTGCATGAGTTTTTCTTGACACCTGTAAGGGGGCTGTTACACATCGATTCGTTAGAGCACTTCTGTCCAGCAGATCACTACATGATGATGTCGCCAAATGTTTGTGAAGATGATTCCGATGGATCTTGTTTGGCGTGCCCGCACACACACACACACGCACACGCGCAGGTGCTGGACGGAGAAGCACAAAAGATTGAGGAAGAGAAACTTCGGGCCATCGGTCAGCGAAATCGTGCGGGCCCTGGCATCTGATGCCCTCGTCTCTGGTTCTTTCGTCTGTGTCTGTGTCTCTGTGTGTGCACGTCGTATAAATGTATGCATGCATGCATGCATGCATGCATGCACGCAAAGCAATGCAATGCAATGCAACGTAACGCACTGCAACGCAATGTGATGTGAGGTAATATAAGAGACAGCACTGCAATGTATGTGTATCTGCATGTGTGTGTGTACGGTCCTCGGTCATGGACTTAGGGAGGTCACTCTGCAATCGCTGTGCAACAGGAATCTAGCCAGCGTCAGTACAATTCTTTTTGCAATTCCTTTCGCAGCAGGGGAGTGCGGCATGACTGTGGGACCGCACTCAACGAAGCTACCTCAGTCATGGGATACCGAGTCTGATAAACTCGGCGTGCCTGCGCAGTGATGTTTGTGACATGATTTCAGATTTCAAGCTGTACGCGGTGCGTACTCGCCGTAGCTGACATGTAACAGGTCAAGGCAGACTTTGGATACCGTTCTGTCGCTGCATTGCTTGCAGCACATTCACAGATGTCAAAAGGTCGCAGGTGCAAGGTGACCCTTGGCTTATGCAGACAGTTCAGTTTTGCCTACGTGCACGTGTGCCGCAATCTGTTTCACGTTAAGCAGGATATGCTTTCAACTAAGGCCAGCAGACAGAAACATCCAGTATTTGAGCAACTGAATCCAACCAAGAGTACGTCCAACTTGTCGTGACTGTGTGTGTATGTGTAGGTGTTCGTGTACGTGTACGTGTATGTTTATGTGTATGCGTGTGTATGTACGTGTATTGTGCGTCTGTATTTGTTTGTATCGGCATGTATGTACATGATTGCGCATGCATGTGTATGTATGTGCATGAATGTGCTTGTGTGTGTGTGTGCGTATGCAGGCGTTTGTATGATCATGTATGTGTCTACGTGTGTGTGTGTGTGGGTATGTTTGCATTTGCATGTTCGGGGCTCCTTCAAAGCAGGCGTTTTTGCAGGAGCTTACTTGAAGTTTGACACTTCGACAGCACCATGCCCTACCTATCGGACCTATCGTCCACAAACCGCGGTTCTTGACAAAGCAGTGTCCACCAGTGTAGTCACCAGGAGCTACAGCCACCGAAACACGGTAGATCAGGAAACTACGACACATGGGACGTGCTGCACTCGCTGCAAAGTGTGGCTGCTAGTGCCATCTGCGGCATAGACCAGATGGATGTGCTCGAGCACCTTACCGGGATTCGCAGTCTGTTGGCATTGTGGATCGTCTGTGGGCATTACATGCCCGCGGCATCTACTCTAGGCACTCTTCAAGCTGCGACTTGCCGTTCCTTCATGGCGGTAGATGTTTTTATAGTGATGAGCGGCTTCGTCACACAGTGGTCCTACGGCAAGCGCTTGCGAAGCGGTCAGCTCAGTATTGGACGTTTCTACATCCGCCGCCTATCCTATATTATCGTAACAACCTACATGGCCATGCTTGTAAGCATTCTCGTCGTCCTGGCCGTTCCAGCATACAGAAGCAGCTTCATGCCGAGCGCTTGGACGACATTCAGTTGCTTTGCGTTTGTGGCTCATTGGATCCGCCCTTCTACCTGGTGCCCGGCACCTCCATCATGGACCATTGAAGCCTTGATCCCGAGCTGGCTCCTGTATCCCTTCCTGCGAGAGCTTGTTGAACGGGTTGATGCTAAGCATGGGCGTTGTACACTTCTGATGACCGCAGTCTTGGTGCACCTGGTGTCCTTTGGGCCACTCTATGCTTTGTACATCCATCAGGGGCAGCAGCTTACATGGGGTCAATATGCTACCGGTTTCATGTGGCCACCAGCGCAGCTGGGTGATTTTGCAATTGGCGTCATCACGGCGTACTGCTGTCAGAAGGAGGATGATCAGAAGCGCGACGAGGGATGGAGTGCAGTTGCCAAAGCGGTCCTGGCTGATCTCTGCTTGTTGCTTTGTGTGGGATTGGTCCTTCTTCTGCCTGTTCCTTTGACTCACGCAGAGTGTGAGACCAACTCCAATGCTCTCCTCACACACGCGCTCGCCTTGCCGATCGCTTTGTTCATGTACGGCTCCAGGAAAGGCGGTCTTGGTGCTTACTTTCTGAGCCACAAAGCACTCGTCTCTCTGGGAAAGTACAGTTTCGAAGTCTATCTCTTCCAGTGGCCTTTGCTCGCAATTTTTCGCCAGCTTTGTCAGCAGTGGCCCTTGGCACCGGATACTTTTATGGCCTTCTTACTGCTTCTGTGGCTCGTTGCCGGGCTGTATGTTGAAGCTATTGCACCGGTCATAACCGACGTCGTCCGCAGCTTCTCAGCTTGACCCGACGTTTGCGGCCGCCATCTTTGACGTCGATAGCGAGTCCTGGCGACCGTTTCCTATTTCCTGGCGTCTCCTGCATTCTGACAATGTCGGTATGCATGGTCTAGTGTATCTTGCGGAGCTTCAGCGTCTCCCAGACCAGAGGATGAGGCGGCGCTCAGCAACAAGAAATAAAGCAAATCGCGAGAGTTCTCAGAAGCTTGCAAACGTACGGCATTGAGAACGAATCCTCGGCAAGCGCTGCTACCACGAGTTCGTCTGAGACCACAGATCTGGGTAATCGAGGTGGGCTCCGCGGCATCCGCATGACGAAAGGTGATAGAGCCACCAGTGCCCATTCGCAGGGTTGCACAGCCGAGAAAAACACTCCCTGCTGAGTGAAGCAGTCGTGTGTCCGACGTGTTCACGGGCCTTTATAGTCCCATGCTGATCCGAAGCTAAAATATTAGCCCCCGCGGAAGTAGAGCTACGCCGAGCAGTTCGGGGTCCTTCATGTTGAGAACACAGCACCCCAAGGCAGAGTCCAGTAAGAGCTCAGAACTACATGAGGTATGACCCTGCTGGTTCTGGGTTGTGTTGTTGAGTTGCTGAGACGGCTGATGCTAGCACGCCAAGGTGCCGAGATGGAGGCTGAGGCGCGGAGGCGGAAGCAGCTGAGCATGCAGGTGCCTTCGGCTTGTTTCGCTGCTAGCTGTTGAGTGCCTTGGGTTTAGGACGCTGGACGGGGACGGCTCTGTCCACTAGCAGCATTTTCGCATGCCAGGCCGCGATCCAGGAGAAAACAGCCGAGCTCGAGAGGACGCTAGTCGGCAAGATGGACTCCAAAGGGCTGGGACCCGGTTTAGACAGCTCTCCAGGAGCCTGAGCCCTGCCAAATCACTTCCACTTGCAGCTAGGAAGTGGCATACCTCCAGAGCGAAACGCGAAAGAGTTTGTGCCTGCTAGAGACGGGAGGTTGATGAATGCCGTGCAACCCTTCTGAGGCTCGTCTTTCAGCTCAATTCCCTGGAGCGTGTGGAGAGGGAGCAGTTCGCTCTCATCGAAAAGCTCAGCACACTTGGTGGCACTATGCAGCTGCCGTGCAGCTTGTGTTCACGCTTGCGGTCTGTGCTGCAGTCGTTCATATTGTGCCTGCCTCGTCAAAGCAAGAGTAGCTTGCTTCCTGTGTACGTAATGGAGTTCAGCAGTTGCTGTCGTGGCTTTTATACTGTACTCCAAGGCAACAATGAGACATCGTAGCCCAATCCGGGCACGCTAGTGGGAATGTACATGCAAGGACAAAGGCAAACGTGTTTTGATTTATCGGTCGGTTGCACGTTTCCGGCATTCGACAACTACCAGAGTTTGGTTGTAGCCTAAGAACGTGCCTTGTTCTCTGCTCCTGCCACGCGGAAACGGAATTCGAGTGCATTTTGTTTCACAGCTGCCACTTGCACGCGAGGGCAGAAGAGTTAACACAGACCATGCTAAGGTCGCTCGGTCACCCCAAACATAACTTGTCTGCTTATCACGTCAGCCACGTCTTGAATAATGGAAAGATGTATGTGTACTGTAGATGACTGTACATGCGATGAGTTGGATTGGCTACCCAGCGAAGCTGCTGAAGCACAGCTGACTGAAGCTGACAGCCGAATTAGCTAGGAGAGGCTAAGAAAGGCTTCATCATCCTCCTGACAGGGCAAGGGACATCCACCTTCCTTCTTCAAGGTGCAGTGTGTTTGCTTGTATTTTGGTGATCCTGCTGGTGTGGCTTGCCCTGGTGTCCGAGTCGCCCCATGGTACAGAAAGCGCAGAGCAACGCCAGCAAGAAGCTTCAACAGGAGAGTAGTTACTGCCATGAGAGAAAGCATGGTCGGGCTGCCACTTCCTTGTACTTATGGGAGATCGACCTATGCAAAGACGCGGCAAAGAAATACTTCTGCGTGTGCTGCCCCGCTCTGTTTTCGTTGCGATGCTAATTCTTGGCCTGTGTGGTGGCAGGCCATGCGGTCGTGGTCGGTCGCGCGTGTTCAGCAATGGCGGGTTTCCATGGGGTTCAGTAAGGCCAGAATTTTGCATGTGATCTTACGCTCAGTGCCTCCCTGCGAGGCCAGGCCATGGCGCTGTCATGCTTGTCTCACCTTCCTGAGACTCCGGAGTAGAGTCTAAGTGAGTCTAAATCTAAGTTCTGTCATAAGGGGTTAAGTAGGGGATTGTTCATACCGACTAAGGCACGGAGTGCGAGAAGCCGTTGCCAACAGAATGTTGGACAGGACACAAGCATGTTTTTCCGTGCCCTAAGTCCTGACAAAGTTAGGGCACTGTGAGCGGGTGCATTGTGCAACGACACACCTGGCAGCTTCATTGAAAATGGATGGCACTTACGAGATCACCCAGAGCATGATTGCTTGATTGTGCGTATTTGTGCGTACTCAAATGCCCTTTGCTGCCGAGGCAAGCTTTACCCTGTCAGAGCTCCAGCATCACATCAAGGACGACGGGCTAAATTCTAGAATTCTCTCAGGGCTCTGTGAGCAACTCGAGCAACCTCATCAGTGTGTTTGAGAGAGGACGATGACCTCCTGTCTCCGGCTCAGCTGTCGCAAGGTTGGCGTCAGCTTCTTCCTGTGTCACCGGTGTTATGCAATTTACCAGCAGATTCCTAGGCTGGCCGTGTGGGGGCGTGTCTTCGACGTCTCCAGTGGGAAGGCATCGTGCACGCATCATGACACGGGAAATGCGCGACATCAGCTGTTGAAAAAGTCGACGGACAGCGGTTGCCTCCCGTCAGGAGTTCTACGGTGAAGGTCAGGGATATCGGCTCTTTGCAGGACCTGTTTCTCGTTGGGAGACGGAAGCTGTCAAACAAAAGCGTGGCAAGAGCGGAAGCATTCCCTTGTTCAGACCGACCGAAATCCAAGTCCTGCCGACAAAGACCTGCGTTCTGACATCGTTTAAGATCAAGTTCTCCACAGGACACGACTGCACTCGAGCCTTCGCGTTGACGAGACGCCAGGCACGTGCCTCAGAATGCCTCAGAAACATGCAGCCCGGACAGCCCGTTTGGCCAACGAGCATTCTCGGAGCCAACGGGGACCCCGACTTGACCACAAACGTCCTGGATGCCTCCAACTTGTTGTGCTGGATAAGACAGTCGTGGCGGAAGCATGGTACCTGATGTCCTAGCTTACTGTTTACTCAACTCGTTGGAAGCCCTTGGTTTTTGCCGACAGCACCGTCCACAAAAACGATGGACTGTATTACAGCGCACACATCGCTGTAGATGGAGCAAAGATTCCAATCTGGGGCTTTGGAAGCATGCGAACTCACACTGCCTTCCCCAATCTTCACATCAGTTCAGGAACAGGTCCTGAGAAATGTCTACAGACACAAAATGAAAGGCCCCGTGTGCGGTATAATCTTCTGCTTTGCATATAAAGACCGTGTTTGCCACGCATGGTCATGGCCTAGGGTAGCAATGCCTCTGGAGAAGTTTTTGATCCTGAAATATGGTGATGTTACAGTACCCTATTCGGAGCGAGCTTGAGGCATGTTACTCGCAGCCGGTGCGCATTCGTTGTTGGCCAGACTTTGCTTAAGGTGGACATGTTGGACCAGGGCCCCAGCCTCAGCGGACTCGGACACGTTCTTGGTGACTCTGAGTGGTGCAGAATGGCAAGGTCTGGAGGATCTCAGTGACAAGCAGCTTCGGCATTTGAACCGGAGCCTGGCCTTAGTCTGGCTGCGATAAGAGATCATGTCAGCACAGCCCTTCGCAGCGAGAATAACAGTGTAGAATGAGCGGCAATTGCCTAGCTGCAGCGTTTCCGAGCGTGTGCATCGTATCCACTTGCAACGAGCGAGTTGTAAAGCGCGTGCGTGTGTGCCAAGTAGTCGGTGTCCGCAAGCTCTCAGCTTGCATTGCTTCTCTACACTGTGGCTACCTAAGGACGTACTGGGAGACCTACGTGGCCAAGTATCCTGTGGCCCCAAGCTTGGGAATTTCTCCAAAGTGGAGACCTCCGGGGCGAAGTGTCGAGCCAGACCGCCCCCTTACTGTGCATGAATTCGACTTCCCAGGTGGGCCGTCTTCTTGACCCACCTTACGATCCTAAGGACTCGTGCATGTGATCAAGACTTAAGGGTTTCTTGTACTCTAGCAAGAGAGCCATCAGGAGCATGTTAACAGAAAGGCTTGGGGTAGCTCAGGACTACGATAACTTTGCCGGGCTCCAAGCTTCAGCTTGAGCTGAGCTACTGACAGGAGGGCACGTCTTGAGAACGAGCAAAAGTTTGCAAGCTGATGCGTGCAACACAGAGCAAGTGGGCCATCATCGGAGGCTGGACCCTACAGTGCCATCCGCCGTACGAGGCATGAAGTATTGTCTGTTACCATCAGGGATGGGTGCTCCGCTTTCATGAGCACGACAAAGCTGTAAGAAGGCCGAGCGGTGGTGAAGAGAGGCCGCGGGAATCCAGGCCAGTCCTGTACGTGTCAGGATGTGCTGCTGGCTTGGGTTGGGCCTTGACCTTGAGCGTTCGCAGGTGTCCGGTCACAAGGGCGGCCAAGGCAGTGGGGAGCGCCATTGCAATGGCCCGAGTGTGCAGCAGTGCTGTCGCGCAGGCCATGGAGACGCAGTGTTGTGTAAATGCGTGTGACTCAACAGACGCATCTTCTAAGGCCAATCTTCTTCCGAGGCAGCTCTTGCCACGGTGATGCAGGGCACTCAGGAAGGTTCTCAAGCTAAAGAAGCTCTGATGTTGATGCCCTGCCCGGGGGCAAGGAAGTTCATCCTAGAATACCCGGCCTGGATCGATTGCTGCATTGCTCAGGTGTGGTGTCTACCTTCACGGGCTGTCGTGAGCGAAATCTTTCGCTCCGAGGAACTTCCTTCTGCTGTCTCTTCCAAACAAGAGAGTAGGCTGGAGTGTAAAGGAGCCCCTGGCCTCCTCCTAGGTGGAGTAGAGATGCCAGGGGTTCTGACATGTTCTGACATCCAAAAGGATGATCAGGCCGCGGTGTTCTCGGGCATGCTCGGTGCTCTCTCGACCTTTGCAAGGTTCCACATATGCCAGTGAGTTCACCGTAGCGAGCACCTCTGCCTCCTCTGAAGCTTCTGCCGCAAGGGCGGCCGTTTGCGCGACACGGCTTTACTCAGCCGAAAACGCCTTTTGTCTGTTCGGCTTTCTCGAAGATCTTACAATGGAAGAAGGTAGAGCAGACGGTAGCTTATCCAGGTTCGACTTCGCTGGCTCAAAGCTCAGTCTGTGGGAGCACTTGCATCCCCGGTGACCACTTCCCTTTGAGGACATGGAATCTCTCGGCATTCACGGTCGTCGTGCAAGAAAGCTGTTGCCGCTCTGAACCGATGCAAGGACCAACCAAAGCATTCATCATGATGGCCAACATGGAATCCGCTCCAGTTTTCGTGTTCGGGGCTCAACGGAAAGCTCGTCGCCACAAATCGCCACATAATTGTCGCACAGGGTGAAGCGTCGCTTGCGCAGGTCTCGCTCTCTGCTGTCTCAATGGTGGGTCTAAAGCTCAGCTCCCGCTTGGAGTGCAGACGCGAAGAAGTGACGGACCTGTTGCCTTTTGGTGTCACGGGAGTTCAGGTCCAGGGTCATCGAGTTGCGGGCCTCAACTGTGGCAGCTGTAGCATGCAGAATCATCTGCATCACAATGCAAAGATTCGATGTCCGAGCCGAGGTGGGCCTTTGCGTGCTTCTACTGCTACTGTCACTGCTGGGCCTACTGCTGTGAACGTGCAATGCTAGCATCTTCACGGATCCTGTGCCTCGGCTGAGCCCAGCAGACGTTCTCTTGATGTTGTTCCGGGAGCACGTGGTACAGCTATCGGGCATATCTTTAGCCAGACTGTGGCTACGGCATGCTTGAGCATGCGGCGTGCTTGGGCAAATTTGGGCTTGGCGGCGCCTTCTGCCACTACCTGTGAATTGAGAAGCCACGACTTCACTGAAGAGGATTTTCCCCCTGTGCCAGGATTTGCCTGTGTTCACATTGACAGATTCAGGAACTACAGCCCGCCACTCATGCCGGCTCCCTTTCAGGGTGTTTATGTACTGACCTTGGAAAATCAAGTGCCAATGCATAGGACCCGAATCTTGAGACTTGAGCACGAGTCCGAAACGTGGCAGATGTGTGTGGCATGGCAGTGTGATTTCCCTGGAGGCATCGTGTGTTTTGTCCGCACGCGGCAGTCCCTGCAGCTTGGCCTCCGGGAGCCTTCATGTGAGAGCTGTCGGACTTCGAAGGTATAAGCAAGCTAGCGACAGCAGTGCTGCCTGTTCCTTGCCGACTTTGTCTTATGTTCAAGCTCTGCCAATCATCCTTTGGGGAGCATTTTTGTGCAAGACTCTCGACACCAGCTTCTGCGTTCACGCTGTGGCCGCGGTGATACAACCTTGAATTAGGAACTGGACCGGAGCATCGGCAGCAGCGGCACGCCGTGTTCGTCACCGGAGGCAGGTGAGCGATGCAAGTCGCGACTGGAAAGGTCACAGTGTAGTCTCGACAGACGGTGACAAGTTGCAGGGTTATAAGGCACTTTCTAAGCTCAAGAGCAGAGCGGAAGGGACTGCTGCGCACTTTCGCCTCTGGTTCCTGAGGCGAAATGTCTGCGGATCCGCACGCCGCGTCACAGCTTAAACACAATCTGATGCTTCGAGCTGGTTGCCAGGAAGTTCTCGACAGGATGCAGTTATAGGGCCTGTGCAAGAAGTCGTCCTTCTGCGGCTTCGGAAACCGTGAAATCATGAAGTGCAGAACTGTCAGACGCGGTCGCTACCCAGGTGCTGGGCACTTCTCCAGGCTTTACTTTCAGCCAGCTAAGCCCGGGCCTTCGCTTGCTTTTCGCCCGCCGAGCCGTTGTCAAAGCCAGCGGAGTAGAACCAATTGGAGCTGGGCTCAGGTGAAGCCTATCGCCGTTCAGCAGCAACTGCCGAGGAGGCACCTCGGAGTGCAGGCGCCGCCCTGGATCATCGCCGGTGTAGGATTCGCGACTTTTCCTTTCAGTGACACCGGTAGAGACGTGCTGAGCAAGGGTAGTTTAGTCTCCCGGGGTTGAAACTCTGTAACTTGTGCACCATGCACTTTGCAGACTTGCTTAGTTAAGGCCATCGTGGCCGGTGGTTTCCAAGTGCTCGTCTGCAACAAACTGTTTTCACATGGAGAACAATTGGAAGCACCTTGTCGGCTGATGCCACATGGACTTGACGGAGAGCGGCAAAGTCGCTCCTGGAAGTGCAGCATCTTGAATCAAGCCAGATTTGCGGAAGTGTCAGACGGTGCCGGGACGGCTTTCCGGCTCGGCAGTCTGTCTCAAATCTCAGCAGCATCAGACAGGGAGCCACAGAACTACTTTTTTGCGTTCAATTCGCTTGCTTGGATGGGCGACGTGCTGCTTCTGCAGAAGCCCGCAGATATTCAATGCAACCATACACCGAACCTTGCAGCAAGTCTGATTTCCCAGCCCCATGCAAAGCCCAGCAAAAATCCAGCGCCAAGCTGCTCCACTCCGTTCAAGTCGCGCATGGCACGTTCGCACATTTGGTCCGTGAGGCGCCGCAGCCGTTCGCCGAAGCGCGGCGGCTTTTGAGGTGCCAGTTGTCACTTCCTTTCTTTTCAGCGGTTGCATAGGCTCTTTGCTGGGTATACATTTTCCTATTCAGATGTCGAAGATGAGCTTCTGTTCGGCCTCTTGTGCAAGGGAATCTGTTTTGGTTTGGTGCACGAATTGCGTAGCAATCAAGGAAGTGACCCTAGCTTCGAAGAGTCTCCGGGATCGAAGGCCTGCAGTCAAGCAGCCACTGAACCTGAAGCTTTTCATTGAAGCCCGAAGCCCCGAGCCTCAAGCCCGGCTGGAGGCATTGAGCTGGGAGCTGCCAGGAAGAGGTGCCGTTCCTTTAATGGCGTTTGCGATGCAAGTGGGATGAGTAATTCTAGTACTGCAGCTCGAGAACAGATTCTAGAAGTGACTCGGACTCTTTTGACGATAGTGGAAGGCTTGGCCTCGAGCTCTGAAGCGCCGCATACAGCAGCGCTTCACCGACTGGGCAAGATTTTTGGCTGGAGTTTGGAACCTTCAGTGCTTTTCCGGGGGGCTTTGAAGTAGGGCTGAAGACGTCACATTTCAGCTCAGGCACCTCCTGCCGGCCTGCACGCAGAAATGCCTTGAGCCGCGCTATCTTTCAAGCAGGACTGACTGCAGCTGATTGGAATTCGCGGCATGCCTTGGCAAGCATCAGCCGGAGGAGACAACCGTCACAGCTGCACTCTGCATTGAGACGCCTCCGCGACGCCTAGCTGCACTTACAACTGCGGATTGTTTGATGCAGGGCACGCTTCGCGGATCACTCACAGCGGCATGTGTCTGAACCACATTGCAACATTGGCTCTTGATCCAATTTTAGGTTTCCGGTGCTTGCCAAGATGCCCATTTAAGCTTGCGTTGGATGTGGGAAGAAGAAGAGATTATTTCAAGACGGGGGTTTGAGTAAATCCACGCTGTACTCTCTAAGTTTGAACTGCATACACAGGTGACGAACCTCAGAACCTTGCCTGATGTCTCATTTTCAGGCTGCTTTGCAGCGGCTGCCACCCCAGCCCCGTGAAGAGGGTATCCGGGCACTGAGCCCAGAGGCCTGCAAGCACATTCTGAAAGGCACCGTTGATGTAGAAGCTGTTAAAGTTTGGGGGTTGCTGCCGGGGGCCGGGGGGGTTCGTGGCCCGTGGCGTTGTGCGGTTTCGAGGGACATGTGCGACGCTTCTGTGCGGAGGTGCGCTGGCAGCTGCTGAAGTTCATGGAGGCCCGAATACAAAGGAACAGAGCAGAGCAGGGAGCTCGGGGCAAGCGCAGGGCTTGTGAACATGTGCCACGGTTGGGGCTCTGATTTCTCGGTTTCAGCTTGCCTGTCATGCACAAGGACCCAAATCTTAATCCTAGACCTTTCAGTTTAAGTCCCAGCGGCGGATCTCAAACGCACGCGACAGGAAGGAGGATGCCAACCATGGGAACCCAATGTTTTGGGTCTGAAGGCAGCCCCTGTCAATAGCACAAGCACGAGAACCCCCCCGACATTCCTCACAATCAATGCCCGAAGCTTCAGACATTGACAAGGCCTCGGCGACTTCGGCTTCTCCGAAAGTTGGGCCGAAGCCGACCAAGCGGACCAAGTCATCAGAGCCCAAGACCTGTGGCTTGCAGCAAAATCGGCAAGGGCTCTTCCGAGCCAAAATCAGCTTTGAGCATATCCGGCTGTACAGTTCTTACACGTTGCCGCGGGCAGCAGTGGAATACCACATACTACTGGTGAGGCTGAGGCAGCTCGTGATGATGAACACAAGGCCTCAAGCCGCCAGCGCCAGCGAGGGAGTCTCCGAGCTTTGTGAGGCGTTTGCTACTGCTTTTGCAGAATTAGAGCGGGAGCCCGTCGTCACCATGAGACCTCGTGATTGTCTAAGTGGAGAGCAGGGCTTGAACTGCTTCTTAAAGAGATATGGAATCCGAAGCTATCTCAGCATTCATGTGGCCCGCTGGTTAGGATCAACGCATGTGTCGTCACCTGTCCTGCCCCTGGGGGACGTTCTCACGCTGCGGCAGCAACTACTTCTGGCCCGGAGCAAGGGCTTGGAGGCCTTTCGCGATGCGTGGCTTAAGATGCTGCAGAGACTGGGGCACTCAGTGGGGCACTCTGCCTCTGGCCCTGGAAGCTCTGGGCACGGCCACTCCACGGACGCCTTCAAGGATCAATTGCTGCAGTTGAATCCGTGTCTCTGCAAGAAGCGACGACGTGCAGCTGAAGCACTGCACGAAGCGATGGGTCGACAGAGGTCTGCTGGAGGGCGAAAGCAGGCTGTCTCCAGAAAGAGACAGGACGCTGTCTCTAGGCTGAGAGCTGCCTCATGTGCGACAGAGCGAGCATTAGCAGCTTGCAATGCCAAGCGTCGCTCAAGCAGCCGCAAAGTCTGTGAGACATGACTTAACCTGGAAGGGCTGTACCAGCGCGCCGCACAGACTTGGATGCTGCAGCTCAAAAAGCCGTTGCCCAAGACATCATGTTCTTTGTTCCGTCGAGACTCGCTCAACAGTCCCCGTCTCTCCGAAGTAGAAAGGGAAGGCATCACGAGTTTATATACCGTCTTCTTGATGTTCGACATCTGTTCGAAGTCTGGATACCACAGAAGTAGATGCAAGCTGAGGCCTCCTGTCAGTGCGTGTCAGGGTGTGCAGGACAGTTTTGCAGGCCCAGTCCAAAAAGATGCAGGTTTGAGGCTTGTTGGGACTTGGGGCAACACTTCCAATCCCAATGCACATAAACGCAACAAACAAGTCAGCGGATGGATCAATGTGGTCATGATATTACACCCTGTGCTGGGGCAGGTCAGCTGTGATTGACACAGTTCTGTTGCGCTGGGACAGACGCAGTTCCGTTTCTAGCATTTTTTGGACAGGCACCGCAGCAGAATCTGTGGGTTCCAGTCCGGCGCAAGGCCCAAGCAGAGTACGTAGAGAACGTGGCAGACAATGCCTTGAGTACGGAGCCATGGTCGGAGGTCGTCGGAGGACATACCTTCACCTGCGTACACTTTTATGTGCCGCTTGGGTCCTTGCCTTGCTCTTGGACGCGGACAACAGCTCGAGCACCTTTACAGCCCCTTGCCTCCAGCAGTTCACGAAGATGCTCATAGATACAGTAGGTCCAAGGTTTGATGCGCTCGAGAGTGCATGCGGCCAGCAGATGCCGACGGCATGAACTCCAACGCCTGTGAGTACACTTGCTGAGGTTTGTTTCATTTTTAGCTTCTACATGCAGTTCCTGCGACTTTGCAGTGGCGACAGAAGCCCTTGCAACAGATTTTCTTTCTGTTTCATTTCCAGGTCACCACGGCCTTTCGTCCGCATCTAAACCCGGAGCGGTCACAAGCACCGCCCTTCGCTGGCAGCACTGAAGCCTTCAATGCCTACAAGGATCGAATTCCTGTGTACTCTAGTGGGGTTCGGCAGTGCTCGGTGCACTCAGCCACAGCTTCAGCCGAAATGCAATCGCGGATCAGTTCGTCAGGAGCGGGCACTGCCGCGTTGCGTCCTTCGAAGCCTGATGCCGTACGTGGGCGCAGGGACGCTTGGGCCAGCAGTTCAAAGGTGACACTTGGCACCTTTGCAACTGCCAACTTGCATCGTGCTCAGGATGGTTGCCGCGACCATCCAGGCGGGAACACAGAATCGACGTGAAACATTAGGTGCACGTAGAGTTACCCTGCCAGCGCCTGCCAGGCCACGCTGTCCGAAGTGGAGGTGTTCTTCAAGAACTCGCACGACATTACTTTAAAAGTGGTGCTGTTGTCCTTCCGGGCAACGCTTATAGCGAATTTACTAAAGTTTCCGTTCTTCGAGGCAATCTTCGCCGTGGCCACTACTCACGCATCGCCATTTGCTGGAGGCATGCTTGCCGGTGGAATTTTCGCCACAGTGACCCTCCCCATCTCAAACTTCTTGTACCGGCGGTCAATGAAGCTTCCGGTCCGGTGGAGCAAGCTGTACGAAGCCTACCTCCCCACGCTCCTTCGGGACATGACCTACGGCATCCTCCGAAGTTATCTCAGTCCACCTTTAGCAGTGGACGTGAGGCCTTCGGTCCTCTTCGTGGTTGTCTTCTTGGCTTGCCTGGGTTCTTCGCCCTTCAACCAGTGGCGCAGTTTCCTCCTACAGCATCACTCCGAGAAGCAGCCTTTGAGGGTCTACTTCAAGCCAAAGAACTACATAGGTATTTCCGTTTGGGCGGCATTGCGGCAAGGCATATCCGTAGGCCTGGGCTATGTCTTGGCACCAGCATTGGTGAGGTGTCTATTATCTCGAGGGAGATAGAACGTTTCAATGAAATGGATATTAATGCACACACTATAATCTGCGGCGCCTTCGTGCCGGCGAGAGGCAGACTCTAGAACTTCAGTGCGACAGAACTCTTTACCCATATGGCCCGCACCTCGCTACTACTAGGCATTTCAGCCGCTCTCCTCTCGCAGCTCTAAGCTTGTACAGAAGGAAGCCGCAAAAGGCTCACGGGATGCTTGCACTTGAAACTCTTCCCACTCCGTCAGACCCTCTGTGTGATCCCGCACGATAACGTGCAATGTGGCAAAATAGTATTTTCAGGCAATCTGTCTGGTTGTAGACAAATTAACACAGCATCTGTGGAAGAAGGCAAGTGCTGCGTACCTTAGCATTTGAAGGCAGAAGCGTTGCAAGCGTGGAAGGCTTCAACGTCTGACAGAGGTCGGAGCACAATGAGGCACCGGCATGGAGGAGGTGCGAACCCATCACGAGCACAGAGAAAGCCCGCCCCGCAGCTGCGCAGCACTGCATGCCTGAACAGATTTGCGAGCCCGAGCCTCCTGACTGCTAGCCATGAGCAACTTAGAGCAGGCACGAGCTAGGATCTTGTGACGCCATGCAACAACACTAGCTTGTGCACAGAAGTTGTGGAAGCGGAAGCGGCTTCAGGTGGTTTCCTTGACGTGATTTGCTCCGGTGACTCGGTGACTGTAAGTGCTCGAAGCCTTGCCATGGCTCAGCCAAGCGTCAGTGACGACCAGGCAAGAAGAGCGACATGCTTAGGAAGTGCGTTGTAGCGAGAAGCGAGTGAGTTTTGCAAAGCGCGGTGGGGAAGGTGGAAGAGTTCGCGACGCTGCGATGCAACTTTCCAGTGAACAAGCACCAGACCTGCGGTGCAGTCATAAAGGAGGCCAGAGCTTGTAGATTTTGTGACTGTCGGCTGGCTGCTGCGGCAGTTGGGGTAATGTGGCGTCGAAGGATCCCTTCGTTGATGTGCGTTGGGTGCTGCTTTGCACGACTTAGGGGGTCTTCCTCCGCTGCCGGCACCTCCTGTGCAAGGAGCACGCGCAAGAGTGGTCCAGCTTGCTTGGTTGTTGGGTGTTGTTGAGTTTCGCATTATGCAGTCAATGTTGTTGTCAGTGCTGTTTCTCTGCGCAATCCGATACTCTGATGTTGCGCAAGGATAGAACTGAGGTGTCTGTTCCTCTCTTTCGTGCAGACTTGCCACTTGTGCAGCTGCGCACAACATCTCTTGGCGCATGCTCCACACATATAACATATACGAGGCACGCGTATTTATAATACATATGTAGCTTGTGCTACGCGCAGCCTCTAGAGCTGCTGCGAGCAAATCTTTCCCGAAGCTGCCCTTGATGGTGCCAGGTTCCTGGGTTCGGACGAGTGTCCTGTGTGCCGCGATGGGATCTGTGCCATGCGCCCATGCAGTGTGCGTCGGTGCAGTCCCCTCCGATCTCAGCATCTTGACATTCTGAGGCAAAGCGGCGCCATGTTGGCCGAGCTGATGACAGGCAAGAGAGCGCTCGAGTGAAGCCGGAGCTGAAGAACACCACGGCCCTCAGCCTTTTCTCTCGCGAGGGAGCGGCTGAAGCTGCTCCAGGAGCTCCTTGTCACGTCGTCGCCGCTCGAAGTCCAGGCCGTGATGCGCTGCGGCACACTGCGGCACACTGCGGCGCCGCGGCGCCTGTGCACTGCTATGGCCATGATCTTTCTGATGGAGTGCTGTCGAGGAGGCGGCCGCCGTTGCATTGGAACTGTGGGAAGGCCAGAAGGCAGAGGCTCGAGCCCCTGCGAGCCTGCAAGTTGCAGGTGATGTTTTTACAAGTCACATGTCACTGTGCAGGAATTCGGACGAGAGGTGGCAAGGGAACAGGAGCAGCATGAAGCAGTTCCTTCGTGGGTCGCACGGGCTGAAGCCAATTTCGACGACGAAGGAGCTGATGGCGCACGTGAACCAGCTGAACCGCACTGTCCGGAGGCGCCTGACAGAGGCAGGCGTGTGCTCCTTGAATGGATTGCCCCCTGCGCACACCGGAGTTCTCGCTTTTGTTCTTCAGCTGTCAGGCAGAGTCTGCGGTGAAATCCCAGCTGGCCTCTTGCTCAGGATTGCAACAGATGCACAACTCGCAAGGCATCAATGAGAACCGGAGCTGAGGGCGGAGGACTCCCAGCCCCGCAAATGGCTAGGAGAGAAGCCAATCCAAGGCCAAAACAGAGGATCTGCGCCGAAAAGTCGCGGAGGCTGCCTTCTCGGGAAGCCAGCGTCGGACTGCCGACGTGGTGTAAGCATAGAGCACTGGAGAGGAGCTGTCAGGGAGAGGTTGAGCGAGCGGCTTCGATGTAAAGAACCAGTGCATGTTTGCGCACCGTTCTGTACTATACACCCGCGAAGAGAACTTCCTGGAGTTTACAGGTTTGCAGGTAGTGGTACGGGGTGACATTCGGTTACAGCACGACAGTGAGTGAGTCTTTTTGGCCAATCGGCCCTACTTGCACGGATGTGACTTCTCCCATCAGGCCGAGCGAAATCTGAGACAGGATCGAGAGTGCGTTTCGCGACTGCAGCTGGATCCTTACAAAGACATATTGCAGAAATCGTCGCACGAGGCAGGCCATGAAGCTGCTCAAGTGTCCTGTGAGTTGAGCAGAACTGTTGAGTTGGAAGCTGCATTGACTTGGCATCCTGGTGTAGTCCAACGAGCATCGTTACTGAAAATATATGAGCAGTTTCCAGCCCGACTCTTTCATGCTGTGTTGATGTAACACTGGTGGTATTCAGATGTTTGCAAAGCATCTTTCCAGCTTGAGGGCCTTCCTGTCACAAGTCGATTAGAGAGGTTTGCCTTTACCCTAGACCCGTCCAGAAGCGAAAGCGTGGATGACTCATTGCAAGGTCTCGCATTCAGCAGCTGCACCGTTCCAGCCAGCAGAAGCTCTGTGATGCCGCCGGGCTCACACCACCGACCCTCGGTGACACTTGTGACCAGGGGTGCGATGCCAAGAGTCGTCGGCGGCTGGGGTGGGAGAGATCCGAGAGCTTCAGACTGGGAGAGTGCTACCATCAGAAGTCTCTTCTGCGTCACTTGACGACACTAATTGCGTGATTGCAACCTTGATGCCCTGTTCATGGAGCTGGTCGGCCCCACTTGGACCAACGGTGTAAAATGAGGGTTGACCCAAGATCTCCTGGAATGCAGTGTAAAGCGGTTGGTGGAAAGAAGCTCCTTTCTGGACTCAGGAAGAAGAGACTTCGAAGCTCCCTCTTCGAGGACTGCTTCTTCCCATATCTTCGCGTTTCGTGACAGCACTGAACTCAAAGTGTTGAGTCTCACTACAGTGCTGTGTCATTCAGTTCCGTATCGTTCCAATTCCAAGTGCGCGGCAGGACACGGCTTTCCACTGACTTGGCTGGGAGATACCTTTCAAGAGTGGGACATTTGTTGGGCAGATTGCAGGAGGTGCACGGAAATCAATTTGATGCACCCTGCTTGGGAATTGGCGGCAACTGGTCCAGGCGAGCCCTTGCAATTTAATGAGAAGGACCATTCAATGCATGAGGAAAACCGGTATACAAAAATAATCGGATTATATTTTTCAGAATAATTTGATTCGAATATTTGATTAGATTCTATATACTAATTGATTTGTAAGATTCGATTTTATTTTATATATGATTTGCAACGATTTTTATTATGTTAGTATCGTAATTAATCTAGATTTCAGAGTTCTCTAGAACTCGAGAATAAAGATCTTGAGTTTAGTTATATATATATATTTTTTTTATTCTATTTTATTTAATATCTTATTTTAAGAATAAAAAATATTTTTTTATTTTCTATTATTTATTGATATCTATTTTCTCCTAGTGGCATAAGTCGTTGTATTTTGATTATATTAGCGGGAGATATTCGGGGAAGCTTTTTAGGAGGTCGTTGAATTTCGGGAATAGGAGAATGATTTTTAAGATAAAGATTAGAGGTACTTTCTCCTCTCGGGAAGAGGTGAAAAGATGTCGTATCATATTATATTTAGTTATATCGATTTAGTGGGAGAATATAATGATACCACGCATGTATGTGTCGAGCGAATGCTTGAGGAAATGAGCGTCTATATGGGGAATGGTTGGTTTTGATATTTTGTGCTGCCCCTGTGTTTCGAGTTGGTATTTGAATCCTCCATCCTGCAAAAAGGGCTGGAGTTGCGTTTGGGCCAAACTTACTCTCATTCTTGTGACGGTAGAAAACCAACTGACCTAAGAGAAGCTTCTTCACGCTAACCTCTTCACTACCGGCATCCTCTATGACAAAATCCCATCTACT